AGGGACAGCGATGCCTGCGTGTGGCCTTGGTGACCTCTACACTGCTGAAATGGGTTTCCCTGGATGTTTTAAATTTGGGGTCATGTTCTATATCCTTAAATTTTTATCCTTGGTGTTACTGATAGGTCACAGTTTCTTAAGTTGATACTTTGCTCTCCTATATTTTGTGTCATGTCTCTCCAGCAGATCTATTAGATTCTGGAAGACATAGTCCCATTTTTGTTCCATAACTCATTGTTTCTTTAAAATGCCTCTAACTGTCTGTTAACATAATGCAAGTGTGTGTTTTCACTTTTTAAAAAAGACATTTGAGATAATTGTAGATTTACAAACAGCTGTAACAAACAGTCCCAGGAGAGGCTGTCTGTACTTCACCCAGGCTCCTTAACACTGTGTAACATCTGTAGAATGCTTTTAAGAATCTGTCTACCCCCACTACTGTGTCTTGCATGATGTGCTGAATATTGTTGTTACCACATTTTCCTTGTTTTTGTTTACTTAATAACTAATTGATTATCAGATTACACAATAATGTTTACCCATTTAATGGTTTAAACTTGTTCAAAACAAAATTTTCTTGTCCTGATGTAATAAGATCTATCATGTCTGCCTTCTCTCATGATTCACACCTTGGTGGCATCTTCTAGACCACATTCTCTTCCTCTTCCTCCACAGAGGGCTGTTCATGTGATTCCCTGCATCTGGAATTGCATTTCTCACTCTCACTTCCGGTACCCTCTACCAAAATGGGATTTGGTCAGTCAGTCACACTTCCAGTTAGGCATTCCCTCTAGTGACCAATAGCAAGGAAAGCCCATCTGCTCAGTGTGGCATTCCTAGTCTGTGGGTCACAAGGAGAGATTTAGCAGCAAGAGGAGGCGCAGCACAAGGGGCGGGGGCAGGTGGAGATGACACAGGTTGGGCGATAGCAAGTGGTGTGGCAGGAGACTCGGCCACAGACTGGACGCAGGCAGCAGCAGGGGCGGCAGCAGCTGGATTCACAGCAAGAGGGACGGCAGCAGCTGGAGATGCAGCAGCTGGGGCGGCAGCAGGTGGGCTGGCAGCACACAGACTGGCAGCACTGGGGCCTGCAGCAGCTGGACACGCAGCAGCTGGGGCGGCAGCAGGTGGTCCTGCAGCAGGTGGTCTGGCAGCAGCTGGGGCGGCAGCAGGTCTCCAGGCCACAGCTCTGCTCAGAGCAGACAGAGCCACAACAGGAGCTGACCATGGTGTCAGAGGGTGGAGGTTCTGGGTGGGTTTCTAGAAGAATGAGGTTCTCACGTTTGGAAGTATCCTCGGGCCACAGCCTCTTATATACTGCCCAACTGTCCTGTTGTTACCACATTTTCCTTGTTTTTGTTTACTTAATAACTAATTGATTATCAGATTACACAATAATGTTTACCATTTAATGGTTTAAACTTGTTCAAAACAAAATTTTCTTGTCCTGATGTAATAAGATCTATCATGTCTGCCTTCTCTCATGATTCACACCTTGGTGGCATCTTCTAGACCACATTCTCTTCCTCTTCCTCCACAGAGGGCTGTTCATGTGATTCCCTGCATCTGGAATTGCATTTCTCACTCTCACTTCCGGTACCCTCTACCAAAATGGGATTTGGTCAGTCAGTCACACTTCCAGTTAGGCATTCCCTCTAGTGACCAATAGCAAGGAAAGCCCATCTGCTCAGTGTGGCATTCCTAGTCTGTGGGTCATTATTAAGCCATGAGCAAAGGGACAGCGATGCCTGCGTGTGGCCTTGGTGACCTCTACACTGCTGAAATGGGTTTCCCTGGATGTTTTAAATTTGGGGTCATGTTCTATATCCTTAAATTTTTATCCTTGGTGTTACTGATAGGTCACAGTTTCTTAAGTTGATACTTTGCTCTCCTATATTTTGTGTCATGTCTCTCCAGCAGATCTATTAGATTCTGGAAGACATAGTCCCATTTTTGTTCCATAACTCATTGTTTCTTTAAAATGCCTCTAACTGTCTGTTAACATAATGCAAGTGTGTGTTTTCACTTTTTAAAAAAGACATTTGAGATAATTGTAGATTTACAAACAGCTGTAACAAACAGTCCCAGGAGAGGCTGTCTGTACTTCACCCAGGCTCCTTAACACTGTGTAACATCTGTAGAATGCTTTTAAGAATCTGTCTACCCCCACTACTGTGTCTTGCATGATGTGCTGAATATAGAAAGAGCTCAAGCTCAGTGAAATTAAAAACAATCAGTTATTTTTCAGATTGACATTTAATATTGTATTTATCATGTACAGCATAATATTTTGAAATATGTATACATTGTGGAAGGGTTAAATCTAGCTCATAAATGCATTGCCTCTCATACCTATCATTTTTTTGCAGTGAGAACACTTAATATCCAGGTGAGAACACTTAATATCCATTGTCAGAATTTTTCAAGAATACAATATGTGCAATATATCATCATTCACTGTAGTCACTATGCTACACAGCAGACCTCTTGAACTCATTCCTCCTGTCCAGCTACAATTATATGTCTTTTGACCAGTATCTCCTCAAGCCCATGACTCCCTAGCCACCCCTAGCCTCTGGTTATCTTCATTTTCTGCTCTACTTCTATGATATCAACTTTTTTGAGTGAGATCATGTGAGTGAGATCATGTGCTATCTGTCTTTCTGTGACTGGTTTACCTCACTTAGCATAATTTCCTTGAGATTTATCCATGTTGCCACAAATGACAGAACTTCCTTCTTTTTATGGCCAAATAGTACTGCACTGAGTATATACTGCATTTTCTTTTTCCACTTATTTGTTGGTGGACACTTGCATTGTGTGCATATCTTCGCAATTGTGAATAGTGCTGCAATAAATGTGGACGTGCAGTTATTTCTTCAACATACTGATTTCATTTCCTTTAGATACATACTGTACCCAGAGGTGGATTGCTGGATCATATGCTAATTCCATTTTTAATTTTTTTGAGGAACGCTTTTATTGTTTTCCATAATGGCTGAACTAGTTTCCATTCCCACCAACAGTGTACAAGGGATTTTTTTTCACATCCTTGCCAATACTTGTTATCTTTTGTCTTTTTTAGGATAGCCATTCTAACAGGAGTAAGGTGATATCTCAATGTGGTTTTGATTTGTATTTCCCTGATGATTAGTAATGTTGATTACTTTTTCACAAACCTGTTAGCCATTTGTATGTCTTCTTTTGAGAGATATCTAGTCAGGTCTTTTTCCGATTTTTAATCAGGTTTTTGTTTTCTTGTTTGTGAGCTGTTTGGGCTCCTTGTACATTTGGATATTAACCCCTTATGAGATGTATACCTTATAAATATTTTCTCCCATTCTGTAGGTTATCTCTTAACTCTTCTTGTTGTATCCTTTGTTGTGCAGAACCTTTTTAGTTTGAAGTAATCTCGGTCATCTAATTTTTCTTTCATCGCCTGTGCTTTTGAGGTCATATTCAAAAAGTCATTACCAAGACCAATGTCATAAATCTTTCCCCCTATGCTTTCTTCCAAAAATTTCATAGCTTCTGATCTTACATTCAAGCCATTAACTCCTTTGAACTGATTTTTGTAGACCGTAAGAAATAAGGGACTAATTTCGTTCTGCTGCACGTGGATACCCAGTTTTCCTGACACAATTTATTGAAGAAACTGTCCTTCCCCCATTCTTGGCATCTTTGTTGAAAATCAATTGGCTGTAAATGAGTGACTTTATTTCTGGTCTCTCTATTCCATTCCATTTGTCTATGTGTCTGTTTTTATGTCAGAATGATGATATTTTGGTTACTGCAGTGTTGTGGTTTCTTTTGAAGTCAGGGAATGTGATGCTTCTAGCTATGTTCTTAGTGTTCAAGATCACTTTGGTTATTTGTGGTTCTATACAAATTTTAGAACTTTTGTTTCTATTTCTGTGAATAATGTCATTAGTGTATTTATAGGGATTGCATGAGATCTGTAGATTGCTTTAAGAATATTTGGACAATATTGATTCTTTCAGTTCATAAACACAGGATATCATTCTATTTATTTGTGTTTTCGTCAATTTCTTTCATTCGTGTTTACAGTTTTCAGTGTAGATATCCTTACTCCCTTGATTAAACTTGTTCCTGAGTATTTTATTTTATTTTATTATAACTATTGTAAATGAAATAGTTTTCTTGATTTCTTTTCAACTAGTTTGCTTTTAATGTATAGAAAACCTACTAGGTTTTGTATGTTGATTTTATACTCTGCAACCTTACTGAATTTGTTTATTAGTTCTCACAGTTTCTCAGTGGAGTCTTTAGGGTTTTCTACCTATAAGATCATGTCATCTGCAAACAGAAACAATTTAACTTCTTCCTTTCCAATTCAGATATTTTTAAAATATTTTATTGGTGTCAATGTATAATTTTATTACATGGATATATTGCATAATGGTCGAGTCAGGACGTTTAGAGTATCCATCACTGAAATAACGTGCATCCTACCCATCAAGTAATTTCTCATCATCCAAGCCCCTCCTACACCCCTGCCCCTCAGACTCTCCATTGTCTGTCATTCCACACTCTACGTCCATGCGTGTGCATCATTTGGCCCCACTGTAACTGAGAACACGCAGTATTTGTCTTTCTGTGTCTGAGATGTTTCACTTAAGATAATGGCCTCCAGTTCCATCCATGTTTCTGCAAGTGACATGGTTTCATTATGTTTTATGGCTGAAGAGTATTCCATTGTTTGTATTACCACATTTTCTTTATCCAGTCATCCATTGATGGACATTTAGGTTGATTCCATACCTTTGCTGCTATAAATAGTGCTGCGATAAACATATGTGTGCAGGTATACTTTTGGTATAATGATTTCTTTTCCTTCAGGTAAACACTCAGTCATGGGGTTGCTGGATCAAATGGTAGTTCCAGTTTTAGTTCTTTGAGAAATCTCCATACTGTTTTCCATAGAGGTTATACTAATTTACCTTCTCAACAACTGTTTATGGGTTCCCTTTCAGCTGCATCTTCATCAACATTTGTTATTTCTGTCTTTTTAATAACGGCTATTCTGACTGATACAAGATGATCTCTTATTGTGGTTTTAATTTGTATTTGTTTAATGATTAGTGATGATGAGCATTATTTCGTATGCTTATTGGCCATTTGTATGTCTTCTTTTGAAAAATGTCTATTCATGTCCTTTTCCCCTTTTTAATGGGACTATTTGTGATATTTTTGTTGTTAGAGTTCCTTGTAAATTCTGGATATGAATCCCCTGTTGGATGGATGGATAGTTTGCAGATATTTTCTCCCATTCTGCAGGTTGCCTGTTCACTCTGTTAATTATGTCTTTTGCTGTGCACGACAGACCAGGAGCATCATCATCTTGGACAAACGCTGCCACTTTAAGTTCCAGCTCCCTTTCCAGCCTCATGCATTTCAAGGAAATCACTTCTCTTTTAACTACAAGCAGCCAGAAAGAGCAGACAGTAAAACACAGATAAGACAGCTCAGGCACAGAGGGAAACAGGGGGAAAGTCTCTTGGGTAACTGCCAAACTTCACCCTCATATAATGGGCCCCAGTAAAACAGTGGGCTTTAATAAGCGCATTCCTTTCCCTTCACGTGTATTAAGATAGGGAATTTAAAAGCAGACTCAGGGGCTATGCCTGCATGGGAATAGACACACAACTCTCCCTCCCAGATAAGCATAGCAAAGAGACACAGAAGCCTTCCAAGCCTCTAATAAACTCTCCCACCCTAAATCCTTAAAAACTCTTAGTCTGTAAAAGAGTGTGCCTCCAACCTAACTCGGCCAAACCCCCCTCTTAGGTTTGTTTTCTCTAAAAGAAACCCGTCTTTCGTGTTTCTTTCCTCTTTCTTTAATTCTTACAGTGCAGAAGCTTTTTCGTTTAGATAAATCTTATTTGCCTGTTTTCTGTTTTGTTGCCTGTGCCGTAGAGGGCATAGTCACGAGGTTTTTGGCTAGATCAATGTCCAGAAGAGTTTTCCCTAAGCTTTCTTCTAGGAATTTTTTTTTTTTTTTTTGACAGAATCTCGCTCTGTTGCCCAGGCTGGAGTGCAACAGCTTGATCTCAGCTCACTGCAACGTCCGCCTCCCAGATTCAAGTGATTCTCCTGCCTCAGCCTCCGGAGTAGCTGTGATTACAGGCACCAACCACCATGCCTGGCTAATTTTTGTATTTTTAGTAGAGACAGGGTTTCACCATGTTGGTCAGGCTAGTCTTGAAC